GGAGGCTAGACCCGACATTACAGAGTTCGAGCTTTACCGAGTTACCCGAGGTGAGTCTTCTCACTATACTTTACCTAGAGTGGTAATTAGAGCTATGAGACAGAGTATTGTGTATGCTTTTGCATGATGTGATTTCTATGTGTTATATGCTATGTATGTTACAGAGTTTTCAGAGTTAGGACCGGAAGGTCCACAGAGTTAGGGTCAGAGGACCCATAGAGTTAGGGCCAGAGGGCCCACAGAGTTATGGGACTGGGGGGTCCCACAGAGACACTTTGACCAGAGTGTCAAACAGAGTTATAGCCTCGAGTGGCTAATATGTGTTATGTGTGGTATTTTGGGGAACTCACTAAGCATTTATGCTTACAGTGTTGTGTTATGTGTCTCAGGTACCAGCGAGGATCGCGGGAAGGCGCCGGCTTGATCAGTACACACGCTGGGAGATTTTATTATGATCTTGGGATATGATGTTATGTGATACAATTGTGTTTTTATAACGATTATGAATGAAAACGTGTTTTATAAAATGTGAAAAATCGTTTTGAAAATTTGGGTGTTACACATTGCAGTTCCCTGAGTTTAAAAATTAGTTACAAAATTATTGTAATATTATCATGATACAGATTAGGTTGCAAAAGGATCGTTTGTTGTTTTTTTTAAATAACATGTTGTAATTGTTATAATCTGCAAACTAAATTTTATAATATAAAAGCTTCATTAATTGTTATAATCTACAAACTAAACTAAAATATGAAAGCATAGCAATGTCATGTAAGATTTAATAAAAAAATTACAATACATAATAAGTTAACAACTCTTCATTTCAAGGTTGTTTTATATCAAAATCAGCGTCAAAGGTTTGTGAGCAACTCGCTGAACCACCAATATTAAATGTCATTTCTGCAATAGAAATTGTGTGACGTGCTCCACTACCGGACGCCCTTCCAGTACAATTGTTTCTCGTGTGTCCTAGTTGACCAAATGTAGAACACTCTTTTCTAATCGGACCCTCGCCTTGGGATGGAATGCGGTCTGTGTTTCTTGGCCTGCCTGACTGACGTTTATCCATTATAGGTGGCTTAACAATCATCAAATCATCGGGGATATCCCATTCGGATGGCTTTGGCAAAGGATTTATTGATTCCTCATACGTTTTCCTCAATGTTTCGGTAAAGTAAGGATTTAATGCATACCTCGAGCAGTCTTGGTAATTGTTCACTGTTAAACATCTTATGACATGACCACAAGGTATCCCATCAAGTTGCCAATGCCTACATATACATGTCATATGTTGGAAATCAACAATCACATTTTGTGCCCCCTTTCTGACCTCGCATTTCGTATTTGAGATCATGCGAACATCCCACTTAGTAAAAGTTTTTTTTGTTTTCTTTTACAATTTCATTGGCCCAAGGGGTAAGTATTGTTGTTGCTTCCGCTAAAATAACAGGCAAAATGAAGAAGTTAAGATCAATAACATTAAATTAATAAAACATCAATATTAAAAATTTACTTAATACCTGCAAAGTTACGTCTTTGAAACCACCATTGTTGCATTGTTGCACGAAAAAAATCGATCAACATAAGTATTGGCACCTTACGTGCGTGTCTAGATAATGCATTTATAGACTCCGCACTGTTGGACGACATAAGATTGTATCGGTTCCCTTTAAAACGTGCAATTGACCAAGTTTCTGGATTTATACTTTTTAAGTACTCCCATACTGGTTCTTTTGTCTTTTTCATAACATCCATGGCAGCGTCAAAAGCATCAACTGTGTACGCCCTACAAGCCTCCCAAAAAATTCCTTTAACTGTGTTACTCTTCCCGAATCTAGATACTATGTTGAAATACAAATGGACACCACATATTCCATGATGAGCGTGAGGAAAAATGTTGGCAACGGATGTTGCTATAGATGGAGACCTATCAGATATAACTGTAAGCTCTTGCATATTTCCTATGCAATCACGTAGTTTTTGAAAAAACCATGTCCAAGAATCGGTACACTCATTTTTGCATATACCATATGCAACCGGTAATATTTGGTTTTGTCCGTCCTTAGTAACTGCAAGTAACATGGTACCTTTGAACTCGCCATTTAGGTGGGCTCCATCTACTACTAGGGTCGGTTTACAAAATTTGACAAAAGCGCGTACCTATAATACATTGTATATCTATTCAAATACACCAAAATAAAAATGAAAAAATTAATAAAATATTATAATACTAACCGAGCAACCGAGTGCGACGTACAAAAACTCAAAGCGATCATCACCATCTGTTTTAATATGTGTCACCGTACCCGGATTATGTTTGACCAAATTGTGACAATACGCCGGAAGTTTGGTAAAAGAATCCTCTTTCGTACCCCTTAACAACAACAATGCATATTGCTTCGCACGCTATGCCTGATGGTATGAGATATTGATATTCAACTGAGCATTCATATCATTAATAATATCTTTTCCCCGATAAACTCTACTATAGTCTTCAGCCAAAACATCAGCAAGATATTCACCCAAAACATATTTGTTTGCTTGTCGATGATTAGGTTGCAAAATTGTTGAAGAACATGTGTGTACATCAACAAATTTATTCACTTGGAAAAGTCCATCAGAATTTTTAATTGCTTTTGCTCTTAGTAACCAAGAACAATTTTTCGAAACACACACAGCTTCATACCTTGATTTGGTGGATCTACTTGTCCTCGTCTGAAAACCTTCTCGAAGACATTTTTTACCTCACACCGCTTTAAAAGTTCTTTGTTCTTAAATATACTCTCACATTTAATCTTTTGAAGATTCATGTCTACCATCTGTGTTGGGATATCTTTATTAATATCAACTGGGCATGCTGGTACAGGGGGCATACCGTAAAAAAGGTTATCGGGAAACTTAGCTTTAACTTCATCACCCAACTCATCTCTATCTGAATTGCTTTGTAGGTCGGTTATATCTAAACGTACATCAACAACATCAACATAATCCCCGTAAACATGCTTTTTTTCATTTTTTTGACTCGAATTTTTTTTCTTTTTACTTTTATCTACTACAGGCCTATTCATAACTTTAACTTCTTGTTCGGCAACATCATCACAACGACCACCCACATCATTAAGATATGTACCAACATCATCATCACCAACATACTTGTAATTCTCAGGATCCACATAGTTAATAGGTGAATAACTAACATTAACATTTTCAGCAACACTGTGAAACTGAGGTACACTAGGAGTATTGAAAGTACCTATCGGATCGTTGCTCCCTTTATAGCTGCATAAATTACCAACCGGCTGATTTCCACTGTGACCACCCTCATTAACCTCATCTACTTCATCAACCACCACAAACACTTTCACATCCCTTCCTCCACTACATTTGATTACATTTATCAACATTCTAACATCCATGTCTTCAACTATAGCTATATAATAATTTAATTCAGGATGATGGAAACGAAGACTAATTCTATATTTGTCTAACAAACCAATTTTGCTTCTCACCAAAGATACAAAATCACTATAACTAATATACTCAGAAAATATCAAAGCGAATTCAGAAATACCTCTCTGTGGACATACGTATTCCAGATTTGTTTCAATAACTTGCCATCTCCCACCGGTTACAAGACAAACCAAATATTCAATCATTTTTAGAGAGATTTTAGAGAAATTTTCTAAACAAATAACAACTAAACTGATAATTTTCTACAAAAGTTTATATATAGTAACATTATTTCGTAGTGAAACCAATTGATTTCATAGTCAAATTAAAAAAAAAATTAAAAAAAAACGTTAATTCGCAGATGGAATACAGAGAAAATCGCAGATGGACACAGTCCATCTGCGATTTTAAGCCTGAAATGCCCTATATATACAGAAAAAAAAAATTAAAAAAATTCAATCCACCTGCGAATGTACAAGTGGCTAAAGCACACTTGTACATTCGCAGATGGAATGTGCAAATCGCAGATGGACCATTCTTATCTGCGATTTTCATGGCCATTTTTGCAAATTCGATTTTTTTGGCTATTTTCCGCAAAGTGATTAGGACAATTGGTTATTTTTGTCATTTTCTCTAATTATTATGATTACTGTCTACTTGACTATTATTATTATTTATATAATTGTCATTTTATGTATTTTTTATATATATTTTTACACAGGGCCGATTCAATGCATTGAGACAGGATGGGGGGCATGTGCCCCCAATGAAATGATTTTTTTTATATAATTTATAGGTTAATTTAATTCAAAAAACTATACATATAATACCATGTCCCCATTAAAATTGGGCTAGGATCTTTACAAGATGTAGTTTAGGGGCATTTTGGGCTAAAGGAAAAAAATTGACAACAACTAAATCAAATCCACTTTGAGAGTTTGAGGCATATTATAATTTTTCTTCAATTAATATTCTCCTACAGCTAAATGATGAATGCGTCATGTATGTATGTTTATGGAGTCGAAAACATGATATTTAAGAAATATGTATGAAGTTATGAACGTCCGGCAGGAAGTTTTTTAATACCCCATTTCAATTTTTTTCATTATTTTATGTAATTGAAACTATTATGATTGTTACATTTCATTTTGTTATTTTGTTTTATTCTTTGCATCATATAATTTAAGGGTTATAAAGATAATTTTGAATGTTATTCATATAAGTTTTTTTAGAAGTAGTATTATGAATGATAAAAGAACTATTATTATATGTAAATTTTGTAGTATTTTTTATGTGATTTTGTTAAATTTATGAAATTTTATAAATGTTTGAATTTTGAATATATGTTATGTGATGTTAAATTGGAATAGGGAAGTACATTCTTTGTTGATTTAATCTGAGGTTTTTTTTTTTGTAAATTTTATTTGAAATTTGTCTTTATTTTATTATTATTATTATTATTATTATTATTATTATTATTATTATTATTATTATTATTTTTGTAAACCCGCCACAACTTTTACACGGTTCGAACATTATGGAGTATCTGAATGGTTCAGCAATATTGCAACATGAGTATGTCGCTGGATGATGGTTGTTTGACATCCTTGCCCCTTTGCCCTAATACCCTTCGACACCCGCCTAATCGTATACTCTTTCCAGTCGACGTTCCTTCAACGAATCCTATTTCCGGCCAGCTCCGCCACTCCGCCATCGCTGCCCCTTCGTCAGCGCCAGCGCCGACGGTAAGCTTCATTTCTTCATCTCTGAAATCGTTTTTTCCATGAAACAATCTCTGAAATCTGATTTCGAAAATACGTGCTGAAAACCTGACTTCGAAAATCCGGGTTTCGTATACGAACTACTGGTTATATTGGCTTTAAATTGTAGGAATCTGATTTTCCGTTGATGAAATGCAGATTTGCTGAATTGTGTTGTTGACCCTCTAAATTGTAGTCATTAACGTAGGCAATTAGGGATTCTTTCCGTTGTTGAGTTTTAAAGATGGCTAAACTACTGGTTATATTGGCTTTCTCTTACTATAGGGCCAAGATTATACAATATAAATCATTACTAGAGGGCCTTTTAATTTACAATCAGCTCCCTCCAAGAAATTAAAAGGCCTTTAAGTTGAATTTATGTTTCTTATTGGCCTTTGCCATTGGTTGCTAACTTGCTATGAATTTTTCTTGCAATCCAAACATTTTTAAAGGGTATTGTTATAGTGTTCATTAAAGATATTGCTTATGGCTTTTCACTTGCAATGGCTATGGGGAATAGTCATAAAGTTTCATCAAGTATTCAAAAAAGATATTGCTTATGGCTTTTCAGAAGAATTACCTATGAAGAAATTGGTGATGATGTATTTGTGTCGTTGTTTAATGAGTCTAGTGACATATCTAAATAAGAACACATGGTTGTGGTTTTATGTTATGTTGAATTGTTGATAGTTGTGGACTTGTTAAGGTGATATTTGTTGGTATTGTGTGTATAAGAGATGCATCTTCAAATTCAATATTGGGCTCATTTTTCGTGCTCAGTGAATAAATTTGTTTAAATGTCTATCAACATATGTATGAACCAAAGTATGATAAGGGTATACAATAGTTGATTAATCAGTGAAAGACTTCAAGTTTAAGTGTAACGAGCAGTCTTGCACCATTTTTCATGTAATTTTGGCAAGTGCATTTTATTACACTAATTAGTATCTTTTTTGGAGATGGATTTTTGTACTTCTCCACTAAGCATAATGCAAAGTGAGTATGATTTGGTATTTGAATCGACTTAAAATAGTTGATTTTTGATGCTAACGATGATTTTGTAATTTCAGGAAAACAATCAAATAAGATTGATGTAAGATTTTCTGTTGCAGTTTTACACAAAAACATGGCTGAAGTAGATCTCACAATGGCATTCAAACTAACCCCTTCTCTTCTAGAACAACTTGGGAAAGCATTAATTGAGCTACAATCCCATTCAGACACCACTTCAGATACTGTTTCATTCACCGAAATAAGTGATCACTTCCGTGACCTCGAATCAAAAATGTTAAAAAAATACACCGAACTCGAATCCAAAGAGAAATCCTTCAAACAAGAAGAATCCAACAGCCGCCGATCCCTAGCGGCAAAAGTGTCGGCAGTTGCCGAAAAAGAACAAGAGATGTTCGACCGCATTCAGCTCTTAAAAGATGCCGCCGTCGCCGCCATTGCTGAGGCCCGCGCCAATTACCTTCCGCCACCTGTCTACAACACCGCTGATGATGTCACCGAAGACATGGACAACACCAAGGTAATAATACCAAACTCCCCCGAAGAAACAAATGACGATGGTGGTGGTGGTGACTCGGTCACGTTTTATGACGAGTTGACTCGGTTATGCGACCAGATGGATGCAAAAGGACTTGTGAGTCTCTTTATGGAAAACCGAAAAAGTATATCTGTTTTACGTGAAGAACTTAGTCATGTACTTAAAAGTACAAAAGAACCAGGTCGTCTGGTTCTTGACTCACTTGAGGGTTTCTACGCCGACGACACCACCACCGCCGCCAGCGGTGGCGGCTCTCAGGGAATGAGGCAGTCGTGTATAGCTATTATGGAGTCTTTGAGTGCCATGTTGGCAGGGGGGGAGATGGGGGCAGATGTTTTGTTAGGACTTGAAATTAAGCAAGAAGCCAAGGCTATGGCTAATGAGTGGAGGGGTAAATTGGTAGTTAATGATAATGATGATGATAACGATGGAAAGTCATTGGAAGTTGAGGGTTTTTTGCAGCTTGTTGCGACTTTTAGGGTTGCATCAGAGTTTGATGAAGACGAACTCTGCAAACTTGTTTTTGCGGTTTGTGAGCGTAGAGAAGCACCGAGTTTATGCCGGGCTCTTGGTTTAGCGCACAAAATGCCAGGTTTGTGCCTTTGTGGACATCATTGGCCCTTTTTGTCCCCCTCCCTTAAAGCCCTTAGTTTTGGGATTTTCATGGTGTACAATGGAGATAATGGTTTTGTTTCGAGTTGGAAATTAGGGTTTGATTTTTTTATTTTTATTTTGGTAGGTGTTATTGAGGAGCTGGTTAGTAGTGGGAAGTTGATTAGTGCGGTGCATTTTGTGCATGGATTTGAGCTTGCAGATAGATTCCCAACTGTACCACTTTTGAAGACTTATTTGAAGGATTTGAGGAGGAGTTCACAAGGGAAACGTGGTAATTGGGGCAATCCAGAGAGTGGTCTGGTATGATTCTTGGTCTTATTATTTTGTGTTTATCTTTGTTTTATTTTGAAAATCTCTATTTTTTGACATTTTTTTTTCACAATTTTCCCTCTTATCGGTCAAATATTATGACCAATCAGTTATTTTTCCAGTGAAAATGCGGCTTTGTAGAGCCCATCCCTTAAAAAAATCGCAGATCTTTAATCTTGGGTTGTCACAAAAAATATAATTTTCCTTTATGATTAGAAAGATTGAAATTCAGACGTACTAATTAGGGCTAAATGCAAGAAATAGGAATGTACTTGTTTCTTATGGCATTTTACTTTCATTTTTAAATATTATAGCATCGTGTTCCAGTTTTCTCTCCTATTACGACATTGTATGATATGCTCTCCCTTCAATGAAACAAGTAATTCACTCCAACAGAACACATAAACAAGCAGAATGAAATGAACTCAAAGTTTACTGATAATCTCCATCTTTCGAGAGGATGGGCTCTCCAAAAGCTAAATAGCAATTACTCCAAAAAAAAACATCCACATTCTAGACAAGACAAGAAATATAAATACTAGGAATAAAAAGGACAAAAGAGTAGCAGCTCCTGAAATCAAAAGAGAATTGTTCTCACTAAGGATGTTTCCACCAAGAAGAGCAGCAACCAATCAGGGAAGGCCACTGCTATTGGGTCCCCACAAATGAGTGTTGAATTTGTCCATTGCATTTAAATTAGACTTTTGGACTCTTTTACCCCTGCGCTTGTAAACCCGGAGAGGCTGGGGCATATCATTGTACTTTCAAAACTCTACCCAAATATAGTAATGAAAATTGCTTTGTATTCTGATGACACCGCTGTAATTGGGTGGAAATTTCAGAGTATAATGCTTAGTAGGACGCAAATGAACTTAGGTTGCTTTAATAAATAAAAATGACGCTAGTACATTGCTATTTCTTGCATTGAGTTTTCGAGTGTTTTCTTGAAAAATCTACCCAATTACAGCATTATACACCCATTTTTTTTCTTAATTACAGTATTGTACTTCAACAATTTTTTGGGAATTTAGCAACGAAAGTTGCATTGTATTTGGACAACATTGCTATAATTGGGTAGTTCTTTCGATATACATTGCTGTAATATGACGATAGTTACAGTAGGATGCTATAATAAACAAAAATACAAAAGTACATTGCTATTTCTTGCATTTAACCATCTAGCTTCGTAATTTTTTTTTCTACTATAGCAATGTATTTCAGGCTGTTTCTTATTAAGGCACTATTCCTTGAAAATTTTATTCAATTAAAGCATTGTACTTCCAATTTTATTTTTATTAGGACATTCTATTCTGAGAAAATTACCCAATAATAGCAGTGGAAATTGCTTTGTATATAAATGTCATTGCTATAATTGGGTAGATTTTTATATATACTAGGACGAAATGAAAGTAGGATGCTATAATAAACAAAATAATGAAAGTACATTAACATTTCTTGCATTTAACTCAATTAATTATTCATGTAGAACGAAGGAAACGCGAAAGAGCTCGCAGCACTACAAAACGTAGTCCACTGCGTGCAAAAATACGAGCTGGAAACAGAATACCCACTCGAAGCAATTCACAGAAGACTGGAACAATTAGAAAGAGCAAAAGTCGATAGAAAAAGGTCATCACGTGATCCACCTACTAATAATAGGTTTCGTGACTCACCTACCAAACACCACCACCAAAATAAAAAACAACGATCAAAAAGCGGCGGCTTCGGCGGTGGTGGTGGAGGTGGAGGTTACGGGCACCACCGCCACCATAATGGGCGGCACGCTCCTCCTCCTCCAGCCTACATGGATAGATCACTTTATGCCGCTCAGCCCGGCGAGCGGTACCCTCAGGTGGATTACAGCTATCCGGCAGCGGCTCCTCCACCTACTCAGGCGGCGTATTCTCAACAGGTTTATGAACAGAGTGCGTATTACTACCCTCCTCCGGATGCAGCGGTGGCAGGGGCGGGAGCAGCAGCTTACGGGGTGTATACAAGTAGCGGTGCACCGGCGGCCTATCAACCGGCTCCTTATCAACCGTATACATACCAGTAGCAGTGGGCCCGTTTTTTACTGTCAAAAATTATATGTAAGTGGTCAGGACAAAGGTGTTTTCGGTTTTTAGGTCATTTTTGTTTTGATTTTTTACTTTTTAATGCTAGCTACGTTGTACACTTTAATGATAACTTTGTTTTGAGGCAAAGCTATAAAGTGCTTAGCCTTTTTGACCTAGTTGAAAATATCATATGTGAAAATCAGTTTACCTTTTTACATCAGGCGAAAGCCTAAAAAATCATGTGGATCGCAACTTCGCAAGCTTGCTCTTTTTTTTTTTTTTTTTTTTTTTGCGAGTTACTAATTATACCCTTTTACTTAAAGTTCTTTTGGTCATTTTATATTGTGTATTTGTACTGCATAAGCCAAACCAAATACTTTATATTGATCATTTTTACCCCATAAATATCGTTTTGAAGTTGTGCGATCTACAACAATACTTCAAGATATTTTTACTATTTTATAATCCAGCTTGTTATGTAAATACTTTTTACCAATTTTGGTGAATAAAAATGGTATGTCTGTTAACTTAAATGGTTAAAAACTAGCATGTTTGATGGATAAAAAGACCTCTTTTTATTTCAAATCCGAAATTTTGAGAAAATACTTCATTTTTTACAAAAATCCAACAAAATGGTAGATAAACATAGCAATGAAGGATTTAAAGAAAATGATATTCGAAACAACCATTCCAGAAAAGGTCGTTCTGGAAATGGGTAGAGAGTTTTTGAAAAATGCATGGTTATATCCGTAATAGTCTTATAATACAAATTCCTCGTGTCCTTGTCTCCAGGTTATTTTCCTATTTTGACTTTTAACTGATTAAAAACTTTTCATCCTGTTTGTGGCAGTGGATCTTGAAAGATTTAAAGTTAGTTTGTTCTTTTAGGCTTGCTATCGTCAAATGGATAGATGTTGAAGCAAATTGTGAATAGTAATGTACTTGATTCGTTACCCATAATAGCAATGTACTTGATTCGTTTACCCAGAAATAACAACATACTGACTCTTTTACCCATAATAGCATTTGAAGCCACCATTGAGTGGTTCACATATAAGACAAATAAAAATTGAAAAAAAAAAAACATATTTTAATTTTGTATGTGAACACCCATGTAAGTAAATACTTATAGTGAACAAATAATTTTCGGGGTTAGTGGCAGTATAATAGAAAAATACATTGCTAGTTTTTGCATTTAGCCCTTTTTTCAACTTGCCATTTTCCCTGGTTTCAGCCAATTCTGTAAGTCTATTGTCACCTGGAGTTACTACTTGCCTGATCGGGTTGTCATCTAATCCCTTTGATTCTAATAAACTACCAGTGTTGAGTTGTTAAGTAATCATAATTCATTAGGGGTAAACGCCAAAACCGCAAAAGTTAGATGGGTTGTTTTGAAGTGCTAGATGCATGGTTACTTTTCTGAGTAACTCACAGTTTTGATCATAACTACATACTCATCAATTTTGTTTTACTTTAGATTATGCTAGTGCCTTGAAGAAATGTGTTAAAGTTTGATTCATCAATTTTGTTTTACCTTAAACTATGCAATTAAGTGGACAATATATGCATTTATTGGTTTATTTTCTTCACTCTTGGTTGTCTCATCACCTACAATTGACTGTATAATGGGGAAAAAACCCAATGTATAAGTTTTATCATAAATATTAAATCTCCATAGCTTAGATATATAACCATGCATGCAACCAGTGTCCAATTAGGAAATCAGAGTACAAGTTATGGGAAAAGTAATAATGGTTAGGATGCATTATGTAAATGTGTCTACATGTTTCCCTCAATCTTTTTGTATTTGGGTCATTAACAACAAACATCAAAGAAGAAATAGTATATATTGTTTCCTCTTTTGTATATTAGGCAACAAAAAGGTTAGAAGTATGTGTAAGTAGGAACCCCAATCGTCAATTACTTAAGTTTGTTATGTGCTTTGTATTTTTTACACTTTGGAGTATTGTAGACTAAAATAGTTTTATTTTTCCATTACTTTCATGGTATGATAAATAGATACAATTAAGGATAGTTAAAAGAAAACCTGGGCATTTGGTCTAGTGGTATGATTCTCGCTTTGGGTGAGAGAGGTCCCGAGTTCGATTCTCGGAATGCCCCGTTTGTGCTCTTTCCCTATATTTACGAACCCACTACTGATTTTTCCCTCCCTTTACTTGTTTGTTTTCGTATCCAAATCAAAATCAAAATAAAATAATAAAATATAGTAGCCAAGTGGTTTGTCGATTCGGCAATTGTCAAATTGACCATATTCTTATTTATTGATTATCACGTACTATGTTAGACAATATTAATTTAATCTAATTTTGAGTCCATGTTCAAGCCTAAAAAAACCATTTTCTGTAAATATTATAATTTTCAAACCAAACGTTCAAAAAAAAATAATAAAATAAATCATATAGTATCACATGATATATAATATTATACTTTTTCATAAAATTATATCAAAGTTGTGCATTTAAATAGCATTATAATATACATCCATGTCGTGGATCCCACACCAAAACACTACATCATTCAACAATCGCCCGCCAAACTTAATATAATGTCTTTGGACTCATAACGGTCTATATACATAAACCTGCGGTGTAAACCGAAATAAATGCCAAAAATGCAAAGACAAAAGTTTAAAAGTTTAATATGACTTTTCAAATGTAAATGTCTATTAGAGCTCTTAATTATTAAATGATAAAATTAAAAAACGGTATGTTTTACAAAAATTTATAGATTTAGGGCGTGTTCGGCAAAATTAGCTGTTAGTGGGTAGCGGATAACTAGTAGCGTTTTGTTAAATGCTACATGAAGTATCACTTGGATTTGGAGCGTTTTGTTTAAACTAAACGCTAGAAGCTTGTAGTGTCAAAGAAGACTTTCTGTTTAAAACAGAGCGTTTTGTCAAACGCTAGAAGCTCTTAAACGCTCCCAAACGCCCCGTGCCGAACACGCCCTTAACCTCAATTTTTTTTTCTTGACAAGCATGGTACACATATTGTTTCAGTTTTTTGCGCAGTTGGTTTCTGGTCCAGAAAAAAATATATTGTATCCTTTCTAATTTCTTTTTTATTTTGTAAAAACGAATTTCATTAAAAAACAATACCCGACATTCATTTCTCTCCTTATATACCACCACCCCCTCCTTGTTCATCTCTCTCTCTCTCTCACACACACACATAGACACACACAAACCCCATCCTCGACACCCTTTTCATCATCTGCTTTACCTAATGTTTTAAAAACCAATTTGAACTGACCGTCGAACAGGTTGGACCGAGAATCGGATATGAGAGCAGTTCAACTATCACCAATTTTATGTCTATTTTCGAACCGGACTGAATCGGCCGATTTTACAAAAATCCAATTGAACCGGTTAAATTAAATCGGTTGAACCAGTTAAATCACATAAAAATACATGAAAATGAAGCATTTTGCATAATAAACTTTTATAGTTTTTTTCACATTTATTTGGATTTCTTTGAATAAAAACACATAATAAATGTTTAGAAGTTTTTACGATTCGTTTGTATTCAATTAGGATTATATTTTGTTTCGATATTATACTTTTTTAGATGTGCGTGGATTGATGTAAAAAAACTTATGGTTATGTGTTATTTTAATGTATTTAGATTGATCTACAACTTGCTTTCATGTGTAATTTTAATTTTTGAATAGGTGGACATTAAATTCTTGATTTATGTATGTATGTATGTGTGTAGGAAAATATGGAAAAATATAAAAATTAATCGGTTTACTAAGCGGTCGAACCGGAAACCGGTCACCATACCGATTCAAATAAAATACCAGTTTTTAAAACATTGGCTACCCCTTTACTAACACTACAAGAAATACGTTTATTGGTGGCGACATCTAACTTTCACGCTAGATGTCGCCGCTAAAAGTGGTCGTCGCTGCTAAAGCTAAAAAACCATGATCCGCGTCAAATGAATTCGTTCATCCTTATCTGTTGATCTTGGCCTAATCCAATGGTTGGAAATAAGTATCTCTTAATATTATTAGCATCGACATTGTCTGATGATTCAGCAGCGGTTCCCTTGGATGATATTCAGGTTGATGAGTGTCTGAACTATGTGGAGAGACTGATTGCAATCCTTGATAGGAAAACGAAGACTTTGCGCAACAAGGCGGTGGGTTTGGTTAAGGTGCAATGGCATCACCGGAAGGGTTTGGAGTGGATGTGGGAACCCGAGGAGGAGACACTGGAATATTACCCGGAGTTATTTGCAGCAACGGACTTCGAGGACGAAATCTGATTCAAGTGGGGGAGGGTTCTAACACCCGTGTCCTCATGTTCGATTCCTATATTAATTTTATGACTTTTATTCATTTTAGGTGACTTACGTAGGGCTTATGTCAATAAGAGCATGCGCGAGATTAATACTCTACACAAGGGCGTATATTTATCTACACGAGGCGTAGAGCATGGTGTGACGCATGGCGTAGCACCAGAGGGTTGACTTTGGTCAAAATTTGATGTTAGGTCAAGTAGGTGGGTTCTAGTCATGGAAGGGTAAAATGGTTTTTTTACCCAAGTAAGATAGCGATGAAGCAATACCCTCGAGTTGGATTATTACCTTAAATCTGATTAGGGTTTTATTATGTATTGATTAGTGTGAGGAGTTTCAGTATCGGTATCCCGAGTGTGAGATCTGTGTGTCTTCAGATTGAGGTGAGTCTTCTCACTATACTCGTGGGTCGAAGGCACCAATATCGGCCTACTAGATTGTATTATGAAGGATGTTATTTGTCTTTGTGATACTTGCCTGGAAGACCCCGGGGGGTAGCCTGTGACATTTATATGAAAGACCATGGGCGTAGCTGTAACGCCCGCAGATCCAGGCTAGTCAATTTAGAGACAATAAGCATCAAAAATGAGTTTTTGATGGAAGATTATTTAGAAGGATTAATCTTTTCCAAGTGGTAGTATATGTTACAAGGATTCCGTACATATAAAGAACGCCGAAATTCGAGTTATAACGAAGAAGTTATGAGCCGTCAAAGTTTTTCGGCAAAACCGGCACGGCACCGGGAGACGTAAATAGTGAATTTACGATAGAGTACTTTTTAGCCTTAGTAATCTAAACAAAAGTTATAGTATACGTTAAACCGAGAGCGTCCATAAAAAGAACGCCCAAATCTGACTTCGTATGAGAAAGTTATGATTTTTCTAAGATTTGAC